AGTTACGTATTGCTTTGTAGAAACTTTGAGATAATTTTCTGTTCCAACATGTTAAAGACCAGACGCACAGAGGAGCAAACACCCGCCACTGGACCTCATCATAACAAACAAGGAGGGTATGGTGCAAACTGGAACATCTAGCCCCAGTTGGCACCAGTCACCATATAATTTTGTCATACAGATTTAACTGTTACTTGGTTCATGACAAAACCAAGCCAAGGTACAAATATTACAAGGGAAATTACGACAGGATGAGGGAGGAGATGAGGGGTAACCACTGGCCTGACTCACTAAGGCATAAGAACGCGAGACACTACGCTGAATATCGTGAGACCAAGACCAAGCCCAGTGCCTCCAGGATTACAAGGAAACCCCTACACATGAACCATGCGGCGTCGACAAAGTTAAGAAAACCAAGAAATTCAAGGTGTGGGTTGGGTCAAAAGATGAGCAGGACAGGAGGATGTATGCAACAGCCAAGAATCAAGCAAAGTCAGAGTGTAGAAGGGGTGAAAAGGAGTTCCAGAGGATGGTTGCAAGCGAGGTCAAGTCAAACCCAAAGGCGTCTATTGCTACGCAAAGTCGAAATTAAAAGGCGAGAGGGGTATTAGACCTGAGACTTGAAGATGGTAGTTAAGAGATTCTGACCAGGACAAGCTGAGTCATTTAACAGCTTTTTTTTCCCGGTGTTCAAAAGAGACGATGCGATTAATCTTCCTATGCTTGAGGACAGACAAACAGAAGAGGTTATAAACTGTCAAAGCTAAAGGTTCATAAGAGTCCGCCCTGACATGGTGCATCCTAGAGTACTAAGAGAGTTGTGCAACGAGCTTGCTGAGCCCCTAAAGATCCCATTCTGTAAATGCCTGGATTAGCAAAAGGTCCCCAGTGATTGGAAAATGGCTTATGTGAGTCGTATCTTCAAGAAGGGCAATCGTCACCTACCTAATAACTATTGAATGGTGAGCCTGACCAGCATAATATGTAAAGTATTTGAGAGCATTATAAGAAATGCCATAATGGAACACCTACTGAAATAACCTTGTAAAGGACTGCCAACACGGTTTATATCAAGCGCCAAGGTACTAGAAGTTTGGACCCAAATTCTGGTATGAGATGGTAACATTGACAAGATATACCTTGATTTTGCCAAGGCTTTCACAGAGTACCCCCATGAAAGGCAGAAAATTAAACTGGAAGGGTACGGGATTGAAATGTCCTCGTGGATCGGAGACTTTCTCCATGACCGCATGCAGTGTGTGGTGACATGCACGAAATCATCATGTACCTGTCACAAGCGAGTACCACAGGGCAGTGTACTGGGCCCGCTGTTGTTTGTTTGTCATAAATGACATGCCTGAAGCTGTACATTCCTCCATACAAATGTTTGCAGACAATACCAAGTTATTTCAGGAAATTAAGAACCAAGCAGACTGGGAAGAGCTGCAGAAGGATCTCTGTGAGCTTAAAGAATGGTCAAGAAATGTTTGCTAAGATTCAATGTCAGGTGTAAGACGCTGCACCTGGGACATACATGGTAAGGAGGCATTTCTATGACCCAACGACAAAGAAATCCATTAATTGAGACTGAATGTGAAAAGGACATAGGTGTAAGTTGACAGGTGAACTGAAGTTCTGAGCCATTCGAGAAGGTGAATCAGGCAACCAAATTACTAGGTCTATAAGAAGTTCGTCAGATATCTAGACGGTGGACCGTCCCTCATAACAATCTTCAAGAGTGAAGCTCTTCCCCGTCTGGTCCCCAAGATATGCTAAGGACTGTCAGTTGATTGAAAATGTCCAAAGGAGGGCCACCAGACTAGTGCCTGCACTTCGACACCTCAGCTACCCTGAGAGGTTAGAGCACCTGAAATTGCCAAGCTTATACAGTACTACAGACAGACAAGGGGGGACTACTCAATTGAGCGTCCTTATCTGGAGCTGGTGGACACCCACCCCACGGAGTCATAGTGCAAGGTTGAAGAAGCCACAAGCCCAGAAAACTGTGAGGGGTAACCTTTTCGGAATGGGAGTTGTGAACTCTTGAAACAATCTGCCAGAGAGTGTTGTGAAAGCACCGAGTGTGAGCTCTTTTAAGACCAGACTTGACAAGCACTGGAGCAGGTTCAGATACATTCAGGAGCCCGTGCATGCTCAGTGCCTGCCAACAGTGCATAACAGAAACATGACCGATCACCCAAGCGGTAACACGAGCTGACTAGTGGTGAAGATGATAAAAGTAAAGGTTCATTATTGAATGATCCCTTCATAATCAGCTTGTACACTTTCTTCCTATAAGCAATCATTCTGTGTTTTACCAACTTTTCTTACGACATATAATTTACATCCAATCAGTCCTCTGGCAAGTTCATCTAAGATAAAGTTAAACCTGCTGTGCAGTGGTCAGCACCCTCACCTGGCCAGGTTGTTTTATGTCATCTACCCAGCAGTAATTGGGAACCAAAAGATTAATTGATTAGTGGATCCTGTTTTGGGGTAATGGTTGGTAAACTGACACTAGATTCAAACAGTTGGTTTCCTCAAAACAAGGTTGTTGTGGTAATGATTGCTTGTACACCTTATCGTAAGCAAATTTATGCCTTGGTGGCCTTTAAGCTGGTCATTCTTGAACCTGAGTGTCAACTATTATTATAATTATTACTGTATTATTAGTAGCAGCACAGTACTGTATTCATATCTTTTTATCATATCTGTATTAGTACGGGTTGAACCTCGATTTAACGGCACTGGATTTACCGGCAAAATTTTGAGATCATGAATTTGAATGGCCCACTCATAATTTCCACTAGTTCCGCTACCTGCTACAACTCTCCCACGGCACTGCAGTCGGTTTGTTTTGACACTGAAGTCCAGTCAGTACTGTGCATGTGTGATCGTCTTAAATTTCTACTTTCTTTGCATCAATTATGGCCTCTAAGTGACCTGAAAACCCTACCGGAGTTGTTAGTGACCCAATGAAGAGAAGAATTTCTTTGAACATTGTGCAAAAGGTTGAAATATTAGAAAAACTAGGCCGTGAAGTGTCTGTTCATCAACTTTGTGAAATCTATGATGTCGTTTCCTCAATCTCTAATTCAAAGAAGCAGAAAAATAACCCTAAGTACTATGTGGACAGTGACACAAAGAAGGGAATGGAAAAGTGGAAACACATAAAATCAGGGAAACACTTACTAATGGTGCTTGATGCAAAGGTTTCATCAGCGACTCCCCCTTCTTGTAGCACAAGATTACAATTATCAAGCAATCAAAATGTTTAGTAAATCTTACCCAAATTCTAAATCAACACACACTTCAGCTGAAAATCATTGAGGCAAGGTAGTAAGACTGCTTTCAAATTGTGTCTAGTTCATGTGAAGAAATTAGTGTGTTTACCTAATGTTAAAACAACAAATGAATTGTCCAAATAAAAAAAAAACGGTACAATCTAATGAATCTTATAAAGGCTTATCGCTACAGTACTGTATGGGGATTCCTTACCGACTGTGACAGGAAAAACATGTTCATCATTTATCTGTGTCTCAATCCAGTCCATAAGAAGTGATATGTACTGTGTGGCTGGTAGAGCAGTTGGCTTCTTGTACTTGACACCATCTGCCCATAAATACTCAAACTTCTGCCCTCCACACATAGTGGGGCATGAAGTTTCAGTGCAGTACTCACAGACTGTTCCATAAATTAAGTTGATTCGGTTGAAGAAATCTACCACTGAAAGAAGAGCCCCCATCAAATTACTCTTAAGAAAAAGACAAAAATACTGTTACAGTATGTTGCATTTATACAGTACATATATGCAAACTCCCAAACTTAAAATAATACAAAAACAGCAGCAATAATAAAGTGTAGGGCATTAATAACAACATAAGAGCAAAAATTAAATCATTCAGTACACAACTGAAAAAGATGTGGAAAAAAATTGGCAACTCACCATGAACAGCAATCCAGTCATTTAGGTCTTCCTGAGGGAGGCTAACCACACTAAGGTTAATTCCAGAGCTTAAGGATGCCTGCGCTTGTTTATGTAGAGAGTATTTTAAAGTTCCTGGCTCAAACCTTTTGGGCCGGAAAGTCTCGAACAATTTACATCAATTACTTTTCATCCCCAATTATAAGAGAGAGAGAGAAGGAAAAGATTATTGATTACGAGAATGCATGAAGTAACTTCAATCCACGGAATAAAATTTATTCGAGTTGCAAAATAGCATTCTAAGTACTGTACAGTATATTAATCCCAAGAAAAACTAAAACATATTCAAACTTTTAAAAATTAATAAAACTGTTCATCAATTTTTTCTTTATATCATAAAAGAAAGAATGGAAATGATAATTTTACTAGGTACAGAACAAGTAATTGAGAGGTACAATACAGTACTGTATACATACTGTATTACTCCCTGAGACAAGTACAGTAATATGGTTTTAAGTAGGAAACTTGTTATTTGGGATCCACCCTAGGCCTGAGGGCACGGGTTGTAAAAACATGTTCATTATGTGATACTGTACTTAAGAAACTGACTTGTATCTCAAAACATAAATGCTAACATGTTCTGGGTTGGTTACTCTGTCTTACAAATACACCTTATAGACTGTGCTTTTTGTAGCATACAATGGCTGGTGACACTGTCTTCATGAGGCACCTGGCAGGATGGTCATTACTGGGCTATGACAAGGTTGGTTTTGCAAACTTTAAGGCACCTGAAAGGCTGGCCTTCATTGTTGTATATTAAGGATTGGTAAGGCAATCCTATTGAGCTCCTAGAAGGGTGGTCCTCAAACTTCACTGTGAATTCAGCATAGGTTGCAACTGTGCATCACCCAGGGTGGCACAGGCCTCACACTAAAATCTCAACAATAACTGCTCTTCACTCTGGGTGTCACTCATATTATGACAATAAGAGGATTTGACTCAGGAAGTGTCAACTTATATCATCACAGTAACTTGGATTGGCTCAGGAGTGTTACACTATCACAAGATATCCAGTAGTAATTGAAGTTGGGTTAAATGTGACTCAGGGTGTGTCACACTATTATGTTAAAGCACCTGCTTTACTTACTTTCTTGCCTGGGAGGTTGAAACCTCGAAGAAAACGACAATAGACGTAGCATATAAATTTTCAGGTTCTCCTTCTAAGTTGCTGATGATTCATAGAGTTTAATGTCACAAATTATAGGTAATATAGATCATATTTGCACGACACTCCTTAAACCAGTCACCAATTAATAAACATGCACATACCATTACCAAAAACATCTCCAAATAATCTGTAAAGATCACCAACTTCAACGATATTGTTTTGTAATGGTCATAAAAATCATAAATTTGAAAATGGGTATTTAGACATGACTGAAAAAATAATCAGTTGACCATTACCATGCATAAAGTACAGTGATCCTCGGTTAATCAAAAAATATTGGGTTAACTAAATTCTACGAAATCATGTCAACATGTTTTCACTTGCTCACCAGCTGGAATATTAGTCCGCCAATACAGTAATCGGCTCTAGGGCTTAAATTGTTCCCATTTAAGTAAATATCAAGAAGGTTGTACTATTCAATAATTTTCCAAGTTTTATATAAAATTTTTTAGTCATTTTAACACTTATTTAACATAATTGCAGTACAGGAAACTACTTTTTGCGCGCCTAATCAGCCACTTGACTCACCCACAAAGGCGCAGTTTGTATCTCTGGTCAGTGGAGGTAACATCTTGCTTGCTCCTCTGAACATAAACTATTTTTAGGTTTTTACAGTACAATTATTGGTCATTCTGAAATTTATTTTACATATTGTCAATATATAGTGCAGTGCAGTGTTAATTTAAAAGAAATAATCTTGAATTACACCTAGTGAACTTAAAATGGTGAAATGATTTGCATGCATGGGGGGGATTTCTCTTCCACCCCACTTCCTTCTCTCTTCTCCTTCTCCTCCACCCCACTTTTAATCATCACCATCATCATCAACCAGGAGCCTACATGCACACCTCAAAGTAAGTGTACTTTACTGCATTTATTTTTACTTTGTATGTAATTTTCGGTGAGCTGAACCACTATCTAAAAATCCCATTGAAACAATGGTTTCTGTTAACTAAATTTTCGGTTAACTAACGACCTTCTGAACGAATTGTGTTCGTTAAATCAGGACCACTGTAGTGTAATGAGTTACTGTCTGTGTTTTGAAGTGTTATTACTGTACAATGTAAGGAACATACCAAAGATCAATTCTACCAGACTATTCTGAGCAATATCGAAGGGTAAAGCATTTAAACACTACTCAAAGACTCTACAACCAATTCTCCAAAAGCAAAGTAAAATTTCCCCCCTTTTAACCCTTAGGCTCGGTGTCGCTCCACGGCCTATTTTCCCGCCTATTTTTGGGGAGCTGATGTTTTTCTTGATTTATCCCAACAGGGGGGGGTACTGCCAGCAGCACCCTGACCCGGAGCTTAAGCCACCAATACAGTAAGTGTATCTATTCTTTAAAGAGAAAGTAGTGTTCTGTATGGAGGAGGTCTTCAACAGAGGAGCTCTTATTCCCAGGTATTTCCTCCACATCAGCTTGGCCAAGTATCCAGCAGCACTCAAAGTTACACATCACACACAGAAACACCTTCAGCCAACCAGTGCTACATATTCCAATTCAACAAGCTTCCTAAATGGAAAGCATACCTTCCTTAGGAAATTAAAATTTCCCCAACTTCATTTGTCCTTATTAATGGCATAATAAGTGCTCTTCTTCAGACGCATCGTTATTACAATACACAGCAATTTCGATTCAGTTGACATTTCTGAGGTACTACCGCCTGGGAAGATATAGCATAATGTATTGTCTAATGGTAGACTGCTGCCATATGGCATCACGAAAAATTATGACCAAGTCCCAGGTTGCTGATCTGTCTTTCTGCATCATTTACACACAATGCAGGGTCTCAATTGTCTCTCTACTACTGACAACACAACATACATACTGAATATCATTTCCACTCTTGATTTATTTTTTATATTTTTTTATTTATGGTTATCATTATTTAATTTTTATTATAATTTTTTTAATTTTTACTAATTATTTTATTATTATTATTATTATTATTATTATTATTATTATTATTATTATTATGTTTTCACCTGCGCCGTGATGTGGGTCAGTGACCTGTGCCCGGTGTAATCCTCGTGTATATAATAGTCATGAGCCGTTAACGTCCTAGATACGCTTCTGGAAACGTGATGTTAACTCTAAATGGACGCTGTCCTAAATTACATAAATCTATCGGATTTATTCTAATGGGGTTCCAGGCACCCAACCCCGTTTCCCATTTTACAACCATTTAGACCCACTAAATATATATATATATATAATGTTATGGTAAATATCATAAACACACATAGGCATGGCTAGGTTTATTACAAAGTGATGAAAAGGATAATGTAAAGTGGGTAGTCCACAAAACATGTAGCTGTCTCTTTATTTGAGTGCCCCATCAAAGAAATCCGCTCACTTCAGGACGCCTGAGTCGTCTTCTTAATCTTAGAGTGCAGTACACCAGTGACTTATTTATTCTTAGTAATGACACAGAATTTGAATTAGAACCCCAATTGCAACTGGAGTTGCAAATTGTTGAGGCAACTAGATATGTCTGATTACAGCAAATGTGTTATTGTCAATTTGTGGGTGAAAGATTTTATCCTCAATAGATGTAGGTTAACATACACCTGCAGGCAAATGTTTAAAAAAGCCTAATCAAGGAAGCATATTCTTAACACATAATACAGTATCTGACCAGTATGGGGGAGGATCATCGTGGCTCCCTCAGGGCTGCGGTGTGGGGTCCAGCAGGCGCCACGGATATTTTTTTTGGGGGGTGGGGGGCCACGGATGTATATGAAAGGACGATTCGTCGACATAATCCGGGCGATGACTGTATATACAGTTGGCCCTTAACATACTGCTGGGTTAGGTAACAGAGATACCCGTGAATGTTAAAAAACTGCAATTTTTGCTGCCCCCAACCCCAACCCAACCCCCAAAAAATCCTGGCCCCCCATGTCCTTATTTACAGTATACAGTCACCGTTAACGCCCTAGATACTTTCTTGGAAACGTGACGTTAATCAAAATGGACGCTTGTCCGATCATCACAAACTTTTATTTATACTTATGTGTATGTGGAATACTATACGCATATACACTTACTGTTAAATCACTACTGTAATGTGATACAGGTGATTAATTTTTGTCTTTGTGCAAAATACATGACATTTATATTAAAATTATTCACTGTTTTACAAGGATTCCAGCAACGCCAAGCAGATGGGGAAGAGGATGGGAGCCAGCGAGGGGCGCTGGGGAGGGAGGTAGTACGCTTGACAGTTGGCACAGGCCCAGGTCTAACGCTGTATACAGGTAGTCCCCGACTTATGACTGTTTGGATTCTACTACTGCCGGGGACTTCACGTAATCACGGTGTGTATTTTTTTTTCAATTTTTTTTTTCAAATGACACGCATTTTCTCTACCGAAACGTTTCCAGTTAATGTAGTCTCCATGTATAATTAGAAAATTATGGGGGCCCCATGTTCATTCAGCTGACTACATTAAAGGTAAGTGCTCAGTCACATTGTATCCATTCCTTATTATTTATTACTTTCACTGTACTGTATCCATTCCTCATTATTTATTACTTTTACTGTACTGTATTTCATTGTAGATTTTTTATTAAAAAAAAAAATTAGATTTTTTTTTTTTATCTATTTAGGACTTACGACCATTGAACTTCGACCTGGATTTGGGTCCCTAACCCCGTAAATGAGTGAGAACACCTGTATTATCAGTTCTTAAGTGACTAAGCTTCTCTCTTATAAAAAGCCAGTGAAATGACCTGGGTGAATATAATTAACATAGCTGGGATTCTTGTAACATACTGATTAATTTGAATATAAACATGCTATAATTTGCACTAGACAAAACAATTTTAGTACCGTAATCAAATTAGTACATGTGCACTCCAGCTTTGCACTAAGAAATCTATGTAAATCTACCCAAAAATACAGTTGAAAAACTTTTTTATAAAATGTA